AATATATATATATATATATATATATATATATAAAATCTGAATATATTCAAAATTTATATGATGTATAATTAATTAATTTCAAATGTATTATTACTTACCCAACTCTTTCAATGAATTGTATATCATTGTGATTAATAGTACTTCCATTTGTATGTATAAATTTCTTATCATTTTTATCAGATTGTGATATATTTGTTACATTATGCTTATTATGTTGTTCTTCTTGTTTCTCGCCTTTATCTAAGGATTTTCTGTGATTATTTTTTGTTGTTGCATTTTGATTTGTTGATGTAATTTGTGTACCTATATGCAAACTGCCATTTTGTATACCTGTTTCTATAGAATTACTACCATTTCCTATAATATATTTAATTATTAAATTATATTTTACTTTTGATATTATATATTAAAGTTGAAAATAAATACAAACTACCTCTACTTTTTTCAGGACTTGGATTACATTGTGAATTTAATTTATTATTTTGTGATTTAACATGTTGTTCTAATGTAGTAATATGAGATTGTGATGGAACTTGTATTGGTTGTATTGTAGTAGAGGTTTGTTGCTCTAAAGGCAGTGCTTGCTGCAATAATTGTAAATAGAATTCATTTTCCTTTGCTACATCTTTTTGCTTTCTCTGAAAAAAAAAAAAAAAAAAAAAATTACATATATAAAATCAATCTCAAAATAATTGATGCTTATAAATTTACCTGTCTCATTCTGTAGCCGATGTAGCTCTTAAAGCCAAAACCTAATGTAACTACAGGATAACCAATGCTAAAAAAAAATTATATCTTAAGATATTTTTATTATTACTTTTACATTGATATTACTTATTAAATATAATAATAATAATTTTAATAATTTTGTTTTAATCAATTGATTTTTTGACAATAAGTTCCATATTTCTGTTTCAATTATAATAATCTTTTATATATTATTTTTACATACACTAACAATTTATTATTATTATTTTTTTATTACTTAAATTATTATAGTTTCTAATTCTTTTAAACTCATTTTTTTGTATTTTTTAAATTTTGTTCATTAAAGTATGAATAAAGATAAATAATAAAGAAAAAGTATATACCAATGTGCTGCAAATGGTCGACAGAGATCCAAATGAAAGGGCATATGTCGCAAATCTCTTAATCGAACTGCTGCTTCTATATATAGAAATAGTAACCATAGCATCACAGTTGGTAGGCACACACCTTTATCTATTTCACATATTTATACATTATTTTTATTATAATTACTTTTTATCAAAATAACCTAAAGTAAAAAATTTTTATTTACCTGTATGCCAAACATATTGTACCCAAACATAAGTGCTAGCAGCAAAAAATAACCAATGTACTGGTATGAAAAAGAAACAAATCATATCTGATGTAAGAGCAATACAAATAAAAAATACAGAGAAGGCCTGAAAATATAATTTACATTTTAAAATTAAATATATGTATTTATTACATAAATTTTCTTTGTTTATTACTTACCAAACCTTGATATTTAAAAGAATCGTAAACACTTCTGAGTAGTAGCCAAAATGGCCATAAAAATTCAAATCGAAATTCTAAAATGAAGTCTGCCAAAATTACCATGGCCCATAATAGAAGAAATTTTAAATAAAGTAATGTACTGAAATAAAAAATATTATTTTATTATTCTTTATTGTAGAATAAACAATATAATATATAAAGATATTGAATCATTAATTTTGAAATACTTATAATTATTATATATAGTGAAATATTTTTAATAAAAAATATTTAAAAAAACAAACATTACAAGATATATATTTTCAAACAAAATGAAATAAAAACTTTAAAATATAAAGTTATACAAATGATTTTATATAATTACGATAATATAACATAAACTAATAAGTTAAAAAAAAATAAACTAAAATTCATAATATTTATAAATTTATATTATTATATGCAAAAAAACATTCACCTATATTATAAATTAAGTAAAAAAATATAATACAATTTCAAAGAGCTAAAATACAATTTCAAAGAATAATTTAACAAATTATTTTCAAAACAAGCACACATGGTCAAGGTTTTAGCAAATGTCAAGTATATCATACAGTTCTGGAAAGCGGTCGACAATCATATACTGATACAAAGCATCATAGAGACTTCTATACTTCATAAATTGAAAAATATAACAATATTTGACTGATAGTTTAAGAGTATTTCAAGAGATGATTCGTTAGATTTTTGGTTATTTTTAAAATTAGCTATTCCAATGAGAGAAGACATATGGCGGCGAAAATTTACCTTCCGTAGATTCCCTCGGTGAGCTTGTTGCGTTTCAAGGGCCTCCGAAGCTTACCGCACTCGACATTTCTTCTCTTCATATTCCTTGACACTTTCACCACAACCAAAACGATGTTATTCGCGGCGAGCAACAAAATGGAAAAAACCGCAAATTTTCTGCGGAATTGTGAAAAAATCCACTGTCTCGCGCGCGACTTCTATCAGCCTCTTTTGTTGTCATTCGTCTGCGGACAGATTCGAGATTTTACAGCGGTTTATCAAGCAGCTGATTGGTCCATTATAGGATATGGCGCTAATCAACAGCAAAAATCACCTGCTTAGATATTTATTTTACGATGCACTTAAAATTGATATATATGTTTATTCGTCTTCTATAAGAAATAAATCTTTTTAACTATATGACAATTTTTACAGAAAATGTTTCCAGATTATATGCTTTATCGATCGTACATGCTTTCGATTGTACCGTAGGTCAATCGACTTGTTTCACTTACGTTAACAGCGCTCTGACCTAGCGATGTATGAACTATCTTTCTCTTTCATTTTTTCTATCTCTATTTCTCTATTTTATTCCCCTTCTCTTTGTTATATGATATATTTTGCTTTTTTTGTTTTAATGTATTAAGTAATTTTTAAAATTTTCCAATCTTTTTTTTACATATAAAAAATATATTTTTTTTTATCATTTCTATTATATATTATCTTTAAATAATTTAATTAGAGAAATTAAGATATATGTTTTTCAAGAAAATATTAAATTTCTATAATATTGATATAGATATTAATAAGTAGAAAGTTGGTTAGTAAGTTATTGTGAAACAACATTATATTTTTTTACACATAACATATTGGTATATAATAATTTGTGAAATGGATGAAAAAATTAAATTATTCATAATAAATTACATTATTGCAAGTATTATAACAGGAATATATTCGAATATAATAAATAACAATACAATTTTTCACAATTTGATTTTTGGTTACTTTTTTATTTTGTAATGTTGAAAATTATTGCTATTTTATCAAAATTGTATCAAAATACTTGCAATATAAATATTATGCTTACAAAAAAAAATTGGTTTGAAATTTGGTAAAAATACTTTGAACTTTATATTAAATTTAATAATTTTTATTATATTAACTGTGATTAAACATTATTATTTTTATAATTACATTAAATTATTTGATCCATTAATATTATGGATATTGTTACAAATTATAAATTCTAATAAATGGAAGAAAAAAAATATTCATGATATTAATTCAATACAAGGTTTGGATTATGGGACTGGCTTAGCATATAGCTATTATTATGGATATTTAAAAGTTATACTTCCTTCAACTGGCAATCTTAATAAAGGATTAATTGAGAAAATAGAAAATATTGAGGATATACATAATATAAAAATAATAGTCCATAAACTATTTATTTTGATTCCTTCATCATCATATATTCCACCTGATCTTAAAGAAGCTTCATATCAATGGATGGAAAGTGCAATGGATTTGGAAGAGGAAGTTCGTAATCGAGCAGGAGTAAAAAGGAGAATATATCACAATAGTGTATATAAAATTTATCCTAATGGACAAAGATCAAATGTACCTCAATATATAGTTGTAGAAGGTGCAACACCTTTATTAACTTTTTTTGAAGTTCAAAAACACAGTCATTCAGAACAAATATATATAAGAAATATTGTAAAGAAATTGTACAGAAATTTTATATAAAATTACAAGAGCTAATAGATAATGATCCAGAATGTGCAGATCTTTGCGAATTAATTTATTATGATGATTATGATTATGATAATAAAACTAAAATTAATATTGCAAAAATCTTATTAGAAAGATTGTCAAAACATTAAAACATAAATATAAAAAATAATACATCTATCAAAATTTTAATATATTCTAAAAATATAAAATATTTTCAATCATTGTAATTTGCAGAAATAAACAACTACATTACCAAAATATCATTTATTTATTTTAGTACAAATATATATGAAAATTAGTTATAAAATAACATGTTTAGTAGTGCAAATTTGGATGTACTAATTTAAATTTTTTTATCATCTTTATTAACAAATATGATGATAAAATGCAATATAACTATATCAATTATATTTAATATTTCTGAATTATATTATATAAACACTTATTTAAGGCCTCTGATAGTATATATTTATACAAAAATGCTATTTTGCTAATATATTTTTGTATGGTTACATTGATTATTACTACTTATTAAAATTGCTGGCACATTATGAATATATTTTTATCACAATTTGTTACATGTCCATCTCAAATTGTTCTGCAGATTCTTCAATTACTGGAGTGTCTGTAAGATTAATAAAATCATAATGTATAATTTATAAATTATTATATATATAATATATATATATATATATAATATAATATATAATATAATATAATATATATATATATATATATTAATATATTTAAATGAATCTTTTTAACATTTAAAAAATAGAACATTTATTTATCATATCATTAACTATTATATTATTTTTTAATAATAAATTGAAAAAATAAATAATGTAAATATATGTATACGTACGACAAATGAATAAAATATATAAATTCTAACCTTTATTAATTTGATTCTTTATTGACGTCAAGGGATTTGGTGATGTATGTTTTAATAATTCTCCAGGTATAGATGGCATATTTCGTGGTGGTGTTCGTGATATAGGAGAATTTCGTAAATTCATTAAAAAATCACGTTCATAAACAATACGTGTACCTGCACAATTTTTATATTTTATCTTTTATAATTATTTATAATGGGATGAAATTTTTTTAGGATTTTTTTCTTTAAAAATTCTAATTATACTATAGTAATTTTTTATAAATTTTTATAAATATTAAATTTAATAATTTTTTTTTAACAAATTTTGTTTAAAATATTATTTTTATAATAGCTATTTTTTATTTTACAATATTTTTTTATATTTTAATTGACTTGGATATATACGAATAAATATGCTAATTATAAAATATAAATACCAGAAATTATTTATGTATTATAAATTAAAGATTCAATTTTTTATATTATTTACACAGAAAATTAATAATTAAAATTTAATTAGATTTATTATTTTTAAATATTAAATATTAAATAAATATATCTATTAATCTCTGAAAATGTATAAGATTTTTAAAAAAATACTAGAATATATAATAATATATATATAATATATATATATATATATATATATATATTATAGTACTCTATAAAAATATAAAAAGAATGAATTTAAAAATAAAAATATATTAATATTTATTTACTAATATTTAATAAAATTATTATATTTCATAATAGAATGTAAAATATATAATAATATTTATATCAAAATTCATAAATATAATATTAATAATTGCATTAATAATTACAATAATTATTATTTTTCTAGAATTGTTTGTTCACTTTTGTGTTATAATTACTCAAATATTATTAAAGAAATTTATTTTCAAATAAATTATTATTAATCAATTATCTATTAATCTATAATGTATTATTGTATGAAATATACTAAAATTTTATATTGATTATTGAAAAAAAAATATTACATTAATAATAACATAAGAAAAAAAAGACACTGACCTCCAGGCGTAGTTGAAAAAAGTGTTCCACCAGGGGTGGATGAATAATCATTAGGTAATTGACTGGGATCATTAATAACGATTCGTTTCGAAGGTATGTTTTGACTTTGGGTAGCTTGTCTTGCAATCGGTGATGCGGACATACTTGATCTTTCAGTTTCTTTGAAAATAAAAATAATTTTTGTTTAAGATAATGAGTTTAAACAACACATAAAAATAAAATCTGTAAACGATTCATTATTACTGTTGACAAATAATTTTACTGCGTAATTTATGAAAAATAATAGATTGTGAACTCGACTTGTAAGCATAAATATAAACAGACATTAAATGAAAAAGAAACAAAAAATTGCTTTTTTCAAAATTTTACATCATATTCATTCTCACTAGTTTAATCGGTTTAAATATTGCACGTTTACAATACTTTAAATTAAGTATAAACAAACATATATATAACATACGTGTAACCTAAAAAATCGAATCACGAACGAACACAACAATTCACAAAAGTCTCACCATACGATAAGTGATTGTTTTATATAAGTTCACAATTCTCCCCACTCCTAAAATACTACAGAAAAATGCTACCTAAAGCATTAGCAATCATTGGCGCGAACTATCGTATTATTATTGTACTAAATTCAAGTACAATAATTAAATATTCAAATATTATAATACAATTTTTTTATTTTTTAAAACTTATACAACTTCCATATTATTTGGTTTAATATTCCATATTAAAAGTTTAAAATTTCATTAATTTATAATTGTTGTTTTCGAAATTTTCGTAATGTGTATAATACAAATTTTTATAACAGCATATTGATTTCTATTTTTATTAAATGATTAAATTTAATTGTCAAGAAAAAGAAAAAAAATATAAATTTTTGCAAGTTTTCATTTTTGATTAAAGAAATTTTAATAAAGTTTTAATAATACATATTATATTCTTTAAAAATTTAATTTCATTAAAATTTATTTAATTATAAAAAATATACTTTAATTAAAATGCAAAAAATATATATATTGTTAAACTATGTAAAAAAAACTATTAAGACCTATCGTATTTAAAAGATGAAATATTTATTTTCGATTTCTTTTTTTTTTTTGATAAGCATATTCTAATTATATAATATAATAAAAGTTGTAAAATGTATATTTTATAAAATAAAAATTTATATTTTTATTTTTACGATTTTATTTCTCTTAAATTTATTTCAAATATTTTAATTGCTATAAATTTAAATAAATTTTTTTCAAACATTGTTTTTTAGATATTCAATTTATATATATTTTAATTATTACAATAAATAACATAAATAAGAATAAAAATACATATTTTACAAATTTATTATATTTAAATATTTATTATTTTTCAGTAAATAAAAATTTACTAAAAAAAAAAACAAATAGTCAAATTTAATTTAAAAATTATTTGAAAAATTTTATATTTCAAGTTTGATTGAAGATTTATTTATTTATTTTTATTTATGTTTATATTATTTATATTATTATTATATTATCAATAATAATGAAATTACTAAAGGAATTAATAATAAGGATAATGATATAAAAAAATAATTTGAATATTTAAATAAAAACTTTTCTGTTATAACTTAGATATGAAGAAGTAAAAAAGAATGATGTATTGACATTATTAAATAATCTTTCATAAATTATTATATAATTTTGATTAATTAATTATTATTAAATATTCAACTGCCGTTTTATTATATTTAAAATGATTACATATTTGATTTATATCTATTTAAAAATTATCTATCAAAAGCTCTGTGATATATACTTATTTTTTTTTAAAGTTAAAGAATTTTTTTTTTCAACTTAAATTTAAACTTAA